CCTTCTCTGAGTGGTTTACAGAGTCAGTGTGTTGACCCCCCAACCATCTGGGTCCTCGTTTTACCGACCCCAGAAGGACGGAAGGCTGAGTCAACCTTGAGATGGTCAGGATTGAACTCCTGGCAGTCGGCAGAGTTAACCTGCAATACTGCATTCTGACCACTGGGAAGGAAGGGAGGGAAGGAGGGAGGGAGGGAGGGAGGAAGAAAAGGAAGGAAGGGAGGGAAGGAGGGAGGAAGAAAAGGGTGGAAGGAAGGAAGGAAGGAAGGAAGGAAGGAAGGAAGGAAGGAAGGAAGGAAGGAACGGAAGGGAGGGAGAGAGGACAAAAAGGATGGAAGGAAGGGAAGAAGGGACGGAGAAAGGAAGGAAGGAGGGAGGGAGGGAGGGAGGGAGGAAGGGAGGAAGGACAATAGCAGAATGATATACTGCTTCACATATGCACATGCCCTTTGCACATGCTCCGGGGTGCTCTGTCTTTCTGTTGATTAAAAAAAAAACAACTCAACTGCCCCTCGACTTGGGTTCAACAGCAGCAAGAGCATCTTCAACCATACCTGGCTGTCTCCACGGAGCCCCATAACAGCTTCATAACTTGGAGGAAAATCAGTGGGGTACAGGGGTACCGGGCTATCCATGGAACCGTTGTAGGTAATGCTAAACAACAATAAATAAATAAGATATTGTTAAATAGGTTAAATAAATAAATTCTTTCTTTTTCCTCCTTTCTTTCTTCCTTTCCTTCCCTTCCCTTCCTTCCATTCTTTTTTCTTTCTCTTTTCTTTCTTTCTTTCTTTCTTTCTTTCTTTCTTTCTTTCTTTCTTTCTTTCTTCTCTTTCTCTTTCTTTCTTTCTTTCCTTCCTTCCTTCCTTCCTTCCTTCCTTCCCTTCCTTCCCTTCCTTCCTTCCTTCCTTCCTTCCTTTCTTTCTTTCTTTCTTTCTTCTCTTTCTCTTTTTTCTTTCTTTCTTTCTTTCTTTCTTTCTTTCTTTCTTTCTTTCTTTCTTTCTTTCTTCTCTTTCTTTTCTTTCTTTCTTTCTTTCTTTCTTTCTTTCCTTCCTTCCTTCCTTCCTTCCCTCCCTTCCCTTCCCTTCCCTTCCCTTTCTTTTCTTTTCTTTTCTTTTTTTCTTTCCTTTCCTTTCTACTGTGGTTGCATTTTCTTTCTCTTCAAATCAAGGTCTCGCTGCCAGCAAAACGTCCCCGATTCTCTTACAGGGCGTGGAATCTCTTTGCGTCGAGCCCAAATTTATTTACACGTCACGCAATCCACCTTTTAGCAATCTCACCTCTGGGCATCCGTCTCGGAGCTGCAGGTGTACTCGGGGGGGTAGTAAGGAGGGGGCGGAACTGGCGGGACAAACTCATCCAGGTCCAACATGTGTTGCAAGAAAGTGTCCGGAGGAGACGTACAGTCCAGCGTGAGGGAGCTTGAGCGAGGTGGAGAAAGCTGAAAATGGAAAGAGAATCGAATAAATTAATTCAACCCGGCAGGAAACGGTAAGTAAGTAAAAAAAAAAAATCTCTTGGATAATCTTGGTAAATTAAACCCGGCGGGAAAGGGTAAGAAAAATCCAGTTTTTGGTCACCGCGTTACAAAAACCAAAACAAAACAATGGCATTTTGGAAAAAAATGCAACGGAAAAACATATGAAGAACAGTTGCAGGATTTGGGGTTTGGCTAGAAGAACTGGATAGCAATGTTCCAATATTTATAGTTAATAATAATAATAATAATAATAATAATAATAATAATAATAATAATAATAATAATAATAAAGTTGGAAAGGACCTTGGAGGTCATCTAGTCCAAGCCCCTGTTCAAGCAGGAAAGGGTTGGACTAGATGAAAGGTGAGGGGCTGCACCAAAGAAGAGGGGGTCAACCTATTTTCCTAAACACCCAAATGATGGAAACTCATCAAGGAGAGAAGCAACCTGCAATTAAGGAGAAACTTCCTAACAGTGAGGATAATTCACCGGTGGAACAGCCTGCCACCAGAGGTTTTGGCTGCTCCATCACTGGAGATTTTGTAAGAAGAGGCTGGAAAAGCCACTTGTCTGAGATGGTATAGGGTCTCCTGCTTGAGCAGGGGGGCTGGACTAGATGGCCTCCAAGGTCCCTTCTAGCTCTATTCTATTCTAATTCTATTCTTTGAGAGTTTCTGGTTGCGAGTTCAGAGCCAAACCCCGTTTTTGGGTGACTCACCACGTGGAGAATGTCGACCGAAAAAATCTGAATGCAACACATGATGGCGGACAGAGTGCACACAACGATGGAGAAGATGGTCAAGCCACAGATGCTGAAAAGCAGGTCCTACGGTGAGTAAAGGGAAAGTTGTCAGAAAGGAGTAACAGAGAAAGAGAAGGAGATGCGTTTTAGCTAAGTTCTGGAGAAATGCCAAACAAGGGAAAGAATAATAATACGTCCAAAACATCTGGAGCACCGTTGGAACACTTTCGGCATTGACAAAGTCCCCATCGGTCAATTGCAAAAGGCAGCTTGACTTTGAACAACTTAAATCCTGCACTGAGACTTTTAACGCCATCAAACAACCACATCTGTCTATATCCCAGGTCCTTGGGAAGGACTCAACAAGGCCAAATCCAGATTAAACACCTGGCTGCGCGAGGAACCATAATAATAGAAATTGAACCCTCTCGGCATTGACAAAAATCTTCATCCGTCAATTGCAAAAGGGCAGCTTGACTTGGGACAGCTGACATCCTGCGACAATACTTTTAACGTTATTAAACAGCCACATCTGTCTATCCCAGATCCTTGGGAAGGACTTAACGGGTGCAGGAAAGAAATGCCAAATCCAGCCTAAACATCTGGCCGACTTTGTAACAAACCATAATAGTGTAAAAAATAATCATGGGAAATCTCGAGAAGGTTGCGTTTGTCTGCCTCAGCAAATTCTGTCCATTTCACCAGCTGTTCCTCCATGGTGGCTAGCGACAACTTTTCCCTTGCCACTCACTTTGAGGACGAGAAGGATCCTGGAACAATTCGAATCCACATCAGCTTTATTGCCGCAGGCGGGAATCCCGGATTCAGATGGCGCGTAGATGCATTTCTTATACAGAAAACTAGTCTGCAAAGAAAAGAAAGATCGTTGCATGCTGGTTGGGGAATTACAGGAATTTTCAGAGATTCTCTGGATGGTGTGAGAAGTGGGATACACTTTTTCCTGCCTTGCAGATGGTGTCAGAAGTGGAATACGCTTTTTCCTGATCTCTGGATGGTGTCAGAAGTGGGATACAGCTGTTCGTGAAGGTGGTAGAAGTGGGATATGATGTTTTGTGGTCTCTGGATGGTGTCAGAAGTGGGATACACTTTTTCCTGCTCTGTCTCCAAGACAGCAGGCTGAGAAAGGATGAATAAATTCTTCTTCCCTTCCCAATGGCTCCAAACCTTGCTCCTCCAGACACAATTCCTCCCTTCCTCCCCATAACTGACCCGTTGCATCCCTACCTGGCCTTTCAGGCTCCGTCGCCATCCCAGCTCCTTTGGGATCGAAGATCCGTCTCGCTGCCTTATCCGCTCACAGACTTCCAAAGATTTCACCTGCTGGGCGTGTTGGCAGGACAGAATAGAGCCTGCCAGGGTGAGCATCACCCCTAAGACAGACAGCAGGGTGAAGAAGGTGATCTGGAAAGGAGGAGGGAGGGGAGAACAAGCAATTCAGGGTGCAAAAGGCTGCCCAAAATGCTCCAAAATATCAGGGAAAAAATCCTAGAATTTGTTATTGAATGATACCAAATTATTGAATGATACCAAATGATTACATTATATCTCATTATCTTTCTTTCATCTCTCACTTGTCTATCATCTCTCTCTCTAGGATCCATCTATCCATCATCTATCTATCTATCTATCTATCTATCTATCTATCTATCTATCTATCTATCTATCTATCTATCTATCTATCTATCTATCTATCTCAGGCTCAGGCTCAACCCTTCCAAGACCGAGTGGCTGTGGTTTCCGGCGCCTCGGCATAGTCAGCTGATGCCATCGCTGACTATAGGGGGCGAAACTTTGGCCCCCTCAGAGAGGGCGCGCAACCTGGGAGTCCTCCTGGATTCACGGCTGACCTTGGATGACCATCTGTCGGCCGTGACCAGGGGGGCGTTTTATCAGGTTCGCCTGATTCACCAGTTGCGGCCTTTTCTGGACCGGGACGCCTTGCGCACAGTCACTCATGCTCTTGTCACCTCCCGCCTGGACTACTGTAACGCCCTCTACATGGGGCTCCCTTTGAGGAGCACCCGGAGGCTTCAAATGGTCCAAAATGCGGCCGCGCGGGCGGTGTTGGGAGGGACTCGTCGCTCCCATGTGACACCGCTGCTGCGCGAGCTGCATTGGTTACCAGTGGCCTTCCGGGTGCGCNCCTTCTCTGAGTGGTTTACAGAGTCAGTGTGTTGACCCCCCAACCATCTGGGTCCTCGTTTTACCGACCCCAGAAGGACGGAAGGCTGAGTCAACCTTGAGATGGTCAGGATTGAACTCCTGGCAGTCGGCAGAGTTAACCTGCAATACTGCATTCTGACCACTGGGAAGGAAGGGAGGGAAGGAGGGAGGGAGGGAGGAAGAAAAGGAAGGAAGGGAGGGAAGGAGGGAGGAAGAAAAGGGTGGAAGGAAGGAAGGAAGGAAGAAAGGAAAGGAAGGGAGGGAGAGAGGACAAAAAGGATGGAAGGAAGGGAAGAAGGGACGGAGGAAGGAAGGAAGGAGGGAGGGAGGGAGGGAGGGAGGGAGGAAGGAAGGACAATAGCAGAATGATATACTGCTTCACATATGCACCTGCCCTTTGCACATGCTCCGGGGTGCTCTGTCTTTCTGTTGATTAAAAAAACAACAACTCAACTGCCCCTCGACTTGGGTTCAACAGCAGCAAGAGCATCTTCAACCATACCTGGCTGTCCCCACGGAGCCCCATAACAGCTTCATAACTTGGAGGAAAATCAGTGGGGTACAGGGGTACTGGGCTATCCATGGAACCGTTGTAGGTAATGCTAAACAACAATAAATAAATAAGATATTGTTAAATAGGTTAAATAAATAAATTCTTTCTTTTTCCTCCTTTCTTTCTTCCTTTCCTTTCCTTTCCTTCCCTTCCTTCCATTCTTTTTCTTTCTTTCTTTCTTTCTTTCTTCTCTTTCTCTCTTTCTTTCCTTCCTTCCTTCCTTCCTTCCTTTTTCTTTCTTTCTTTCTTTCTTTCTCTTTTTTCTTTCTTTCTTTCTTTCTTTCTTCTCTTTCTTTTCTTTCTTTCTTTCTTTCTTTCTTTCCTTCCTTCCTTCCTTCCCTCCCTTCCCTTCCCTTTCTTTTCTTTTCTTTTCTTTTTTTCTTTCCTTTCCTTTCTACTGTGGTTGCATTTTCTTTCTCTTCAAATCAAGGTCTTGCTGCCAGCAAAACCTCCCCGATTCTCTTACAGGGCGTGGAATCTCTTTGCGTCGAGCCCAAATTTATTTACACGTCACGCAATCCACCTTTTAGCAATCTCACCTCTGGGCATCCGTCTCGGAGCTGCAGGTGTACTCGGGGGGGTAGTAAGGAGGGGGCGGAACTGGCGGGACAAACTCATCCAGGTCCAACATGTGTTGCAAGAAAGTGTCCGGAGGAGACGTACAGTCCAGCGTGAGGGAGCTTGAGCGAGGTGGAGAAAGCTGAAAATGGAAAGAGAATCGAATAAATTAATTCAACCCGGCAGGAAACGGTAAGTAAGTAAAAAAAAAAAAAATCTCTTGGATAATCTTGGTAAATTAAACCCGGCGGGAAAGGGCAAGAAAAATCCAGGTTTTGGTTACCGCGTTACAAAAAAACCCCAAAACAATGGCATTTTGGAAAAAAATGCAAAGGCGACAAAAACATATGAAGAACAGTTGCAGGATTTGGGGTTTGGCTAGAAGAACTGGATAGCAATGTTCCAATATTTATAATAATAATAATAATAAAGTTGGGAAGGACCTTGGAGGTCATCTAGTCCAACCCCCTGCTCAGGCAGGAAAGGGTTGGACTAGATGAAAGGTGAGGGGCTGCACCAAAGAAGAGGGGGTCAACCTATTTTCCCAAACACCCAAATGATGGAAACTCATCAAGGAGAGAAGCAACCTGCAATTAAGGAGAAATTTCCTCACAGTGAGGACAATTCACCGGTGGAACAGCCTGCCACCAGAAATTTTGGCTGCTCCATCACTGGAGATTTTGTAAGAAGAGGCTGGACAGCCACTTGTCTGAGATGGTATAGGGTCTCCTGCTTGAGCAGGGGGGCTGGACTAGATGGCCTCCAAGGTCCCTTCTAGCTCTATTCTATTCTAATTCTATTCTTTGAGAGTTTCTGGTTGCGAGTTCAGAGCCAAACCCCGTTTTTGGGTGACTCACCACGTGGAGAATGTCGACCGAAAAAATCTGAATGCAACACATGATGGCGGACAGGGTGCACACAACGATGGAGAAGATGGTCAAGCCACAGATGCTGAAAAGCAGGTCCTACGGTGAGTAAAGGGAAAGTTGTCAGAAAGGAGTAACAGAGAAAGAGAAGGAGATGCGTTTTAGCTAAGTTCTGGAGAAATGCCAAACAAGGGAAAGAATAATAATATGTCCAAAACATCTGGAGCACTGTTGGAACACTTTCGGCATTGACAAAGTCCCCATCAGTCAATTGCAAAAGGCAGCTTGACTTTGCACGGCTTAAATCCTGCACTGAGACTTTTAACACCATCAAACAACCACATCTGTCTATATCCCAGGTCCTTGGGAAGGACTCAACAAGGCCAAATCCAGTTTAAACATCTGGCTGCGCGAGGAACCATAATAATAGCAATTGAACCCTCTCGGCATTGACAAAAATCTTCATCCGTCAATTGCAAAAGGGCAGCTTGACTTGGGACAGCTGACATCCTGCGACAATACTTTTAACGTTATTAAACAGCCACATCTGTCTATCCCAGATCCTTGGGAAGGACTTAACGGGTGCAGGAAAGAAATGCCAAATCCAGCCTAAACATCTGGCCGACTTTGTAACAAACCATAATAGTGTAAAAAATAATCATGGGAAATCTCGAGAAGGTTGCGTTTGTCTGCCTCAGCAAATTCTGTCCATTTCACCAGCTGTTCCTCCATGGTGGCTAGCGACAACTTTTCCCTTGCCACTCACTTTGAGGACGAGAAGGATCCTGGAACAATTCGAATCCACATCAGATTTATTGCCGCAGGCGGGAATCCCGGATTCAGATGGCGCGTAGATGCATTTCTTATACAGAAAACTAGTCTGCAAAGAAAAGAAAGATCGTTGCATGTAAAAGCATGCTGGTTGGGGAATTACGGGAATTTTCAGAGATTCTCTGGATGGTGTCAGAAGTGGGATACACTTTTTCCTGCCTTGCAGATGGTGTCAGAAGTGGAATACGCTTTTTCCTGATCTCTGGATGGTGTCAGAAGTGGGATACAGCTGTTCGTGAAGGTGGTAGAAGTGGGATATGATGTTTTGTGGTCTCTGGATGGTGTCAGAAATGGGATACACTTTTTCTTGCTCTGTCTCCAAGACAGCAGGCTGAGAAAGGATGAATAAATTCTTCTTCCCTTCCCCCTGGCTCCAAACCTTGCTCCTCCAGACACAATTCCTCCCTCCCTCCCCATAACTGACCCGTTGCATCCCTACCTGGCCTTTCAGGCTCCGTCGCCATCCCAGCTCCTTTGGGATCGAAGATCCGTCTCGCTGCCTTATCCGCTCACAGACTTCCAAAGATTTCACCTGCTGGGCGTGTTGGCAGGACAGAATAGAGCCTGCCAGGGTGAGCATCACCCCTAAGACAGACAGCAGGGTGAAGAAGGTGATCTGGAAAGGAGGAGGGAGGGGAGAACAAGCAATTCAGGGTGCAAAAGGCTCCCCAAAATGCTCCAAAATATCAGGGAAAAAATCCTAGAATTTGTTATTGAATGATACCAAATTATTGAATGATACCAAATGATTACATTATATCTCATTATCTTTCTTTCATCTCTCACTTGTCTATCATCTCTCTCTCTAGGATCCATCTATCCATCATCTATCTATCTATCTATCTATTTATCTATCTATCTATCTATCTATCTATCTATCTATCCCTCTATTATCTATCTATCTATCATCCATTTATTTGTCTGTGTCTATATCTACATCTATCATCTCTATCTCATATGTCTACCTGTCTTTCTCTCTCTTGTTTTATCTTATCTATCTTATCTTATCTTATCTTTCTGTCTGTCTGTCTGTCTCTCTCTCTCTCTCTCTCTCTCTCTCTTTCATTTGTCTATCATCTCTCATTCTCTCTAGGATCCATCTATCATCTGCCTATCTGTCTGTCTGTCTGTCTGTCTATCTATCTATCTATCTAATCTGTCTGTCTGTCTGTCTGTCTGTCTGTCTGTGTCTAATTCTTTTTTGTACAAGAGACTCTGGCTGCTGCAGAGGAATAAGATTGCCTTGTGCAACATTGTGGGAAACTCCAGATTGCGTCCGAAAGGCAGAGGGGAAGGGAGAAGGGGCGGCCTGCTCTGGGGTCCAAAGGCCAGGAGGGACGAGTCTGCTGGTGCCTTCCTGCTGGCCAACAAAACTTCCCACTTACCACGGGGGTGAAAGGGCGTCTCCATGAAACGATGCCAACCACACCAGAGAATGCCAGCTGGAAACAAGAGAAAGCAGGGATGAGAAACTGGCCCATTTCAAGGGTGACATAAAGGAACTTTCATTGTTCCCAAAGTGACTTTTTTTGCAAACAACCTCTCAGAGTCAACAGCAGCACTGAAAACAGCAACCTGCCACCTGTCCTCACACTTACGACTGTCACACCATCCCCACAATCTCATGATCGAAATTTGGGTACTTGACAACTGGCGTGCACAGGTGGGTCCTAGGACTAGGTTCTCCTGCTGGAGCAGGGGGCTGGACTAGAAGACCTCCAAAGTCCCTTCCAGATTCTATTCTATTCTATTCTTATTTCTATTCTATTCTTATTTCTATTCTATTCTTATTTCTATTCTATTCTTATTTCTATTCTATTTCTATTCTATTCTTTATTCTATTCTAATTCTATTCTAATTCTATTCTAATTCTATTCTTATTTCTATTCTTATTGTATTCTAATTGTATTTCTATTCTATTCTATCCTATCCCATCCTATATTTTCTATTCTATTCTATTCTATTCTATTCTATTCTATTCTATTCTATTCTATTCTATTCTATTCTATTATTCTATTCTATTCTATTCATTTCCCTATCCTATCCTATCCTATCCTATTCTATTCTATTTTATTCTATTCTCGATTCGATTCTATTATTATTCTATTCTATTCTATTATTATTCTATTCTATTCTATTCTATTCTCCCATCCAACCGTCTTTCCCAATTGGGAAGCCCGCGGGCTGGAGGAATTGTGGGGGATTTAAGTTCCTTCTCCCCCTGATGGCATCGCATTTTGCCAAGGTCTCTGCGGAGAGGCGGGTGAAGGCAAGGGCTGGGCACCGGTTTGGGCATCTCTCACGTCTAATGGAAGGCCTCGGCCCTGAATTATTTATCATTGCGTCTCGAGAACAAGCAGCTGAAACGCTCTTAATGCAAAAAAGGCTGGGAACTTCGGCTAGGCAGCTTCCCCGCTGGAGGAAGGGAGAGCCAAATTCCAGAAACGGAGGAGAGCCTCGGCTTTCGATCTTTCCAGAAAGGAAATCTCCGGAGGCGCAGGGAGACACAAAACGGGATAAGGGCAGAGTCTGAGCCTTAAAAATAAAAAATAAAAATCTGGAAAAAAAACAACTCTTGGCCCATAAAAAAAGATGCGTAGCTCCCGTTCACCTGGGCTAGGGATAACATTTGGGCAGCGTTCTGGTTTTATTTCTTTTCTGCTCTGGTTGATTTCCGTTCGGTTTTCCGTTCCGTTCCGTTTCAGTTCTATTCTGTGTTCTCGAACGTTTTCTATTTTTCTAGGCTGTGGTGTTTTTTATTCTCTTCTGTTCTGTTCTTTTTTCTTCTCTTTTCCCTTCTAGGTCTTCTCTTCTATATTCGCTATCTATTCTATTCTAGCAGGAGGCGTGAGCTTCAATGGACTCCAGAAGATGGTAGAGGACAGGAAGGCCTGGAGGAACGTTGTCCTTGGGGTCGTGATGGGTCGGACACGACTTCGCAATTAACAACAAATTCTATTCTATTCTATTCTATTCTATTCTATTCTATTCTATTCTATTCTATTCTATTGTCTAGTCTAGTCTAGTCCATATTCTAGTCTAGTCTAGTCTAATCTAGTCTATATTCTATTCTATTCTATTGTACTCTATTCTACTCTAGTCTACTCTAGTCTAGTCCATATTCTAGTCTAGTCTAGTCTAGTCTAATCTAGTCTATATTCTATTCTATTCTATTCTATTCTATTCTATTCTATTCTATTCTATTCTATTCTATTCTATTCTATTCCATTCCATTCTGGGGTACTCATCCTTTTCCTTCCTTCCTTCCTTCCTTCCTTCCTTCCTTCCTTCCTTCCTTCCTTCCTCTTCCTCCCTCCCTCCCACCTTTCCTCCCTCTTCCTTCCTTCCTTTCCCTCCCTCCCCCTTCCTTTCTTCCTCCCTTTTCCTCCCTCCCTCCCTCTTCCTTCCTTCCTTTTCCTCCCTCCCCCTTCCTTCCTTCCTTCTTTGCTCCATCTCTCCCTTTTCCTTCCTTCCTCCCTCCCTCCCTCTCCATACTTCTTGCTGAATGTTTGCATCACTTGAAATTCAGCTGATCTTGGAAAGCTTTCTGGGGTATCCTTTGAAATATTTCAGATTCTCCTGGGGGGGGGGAGAATATCTTGTTGCACCCAAAAAACCCCATGCCCACCGACCCTTCAGAAGAGACTCACCGGAAACCCGGCCCAGATGGGACAGGAATTCCCGATGGGATGCTGAGATGGGATGGAAGTGGTGACCAGCAAGCTCAGCGTCACGATGAGGACCCCCAGGATCATCTGGATGAAGCCCAAAAGGAGGATAACTTGTAGCCAAGCCCTTCGGACACGCAAGTGTGTAAAACTGTGAGAGGTTCGGCCGGTTAAGGAGTAGCTGGAGTCGCTGCGGGAGGGCATGGTGACCCCCCAAAAGTAGACTCATGAAAGTGGTCCAAAAAAACAGCCCAAACAATATTTTTTTTAAAAAAAAAAAACCTGAGGACTAGGAACACGGAGGAAAACAAACAGAGAGTATTTCCGTTTCTTTCCCACAGCAATGTCCAGTCAATTCCAATCCCTGCATATTAGCTTCCAGCCATTACAAAATGCATTTTTTTACAGACAAGAACAGCAGTTCATCCTGACTTCCCCCCCTCCTCATTAAAGGAAATTAAGTCTTTTTGGAGGGAGGGGTCCTTCTTTTCCTAAAGAAAAAAAGAATCCCCCTTGAATTCTTTGGGCCGCTCCAGATGAGACCCTCGGATTGCAGAGGATTAAAAACAAAAAAATGTTTTAGCTGGGATGATTCGGGCCCACTTTTGCTAGTAGACTGGTCTGGAAAAACCACGAAAAGAGCGCTTCGAGGCACGTGCAGAGCGCCGGGCCAATAATTCCAGGCGAGAAGGCCAGAAAAAAAACCAATTAAATTCCAGCAGGTTTTTATTTTCTAGATCAAGGATATGTTGTTGTTGTTGTTGTTGTTGTTGTTGTTTTCCCCTCCTTCAAAAGCTGCTGAGAAGCACGGAGATCATCTGATGATTCAGAAGTGGGATTCTCCTAAAACAGAAAAACAAAAAAACTTTCCAAGTACAAAACAGAGACCTGGGGGGGGGTGGGAAGCACAATTTCCTCGTTCAGGGGTGCCAAAATCTGACTTTGGCTTGGCTTTCCTGGGAAACAGGACCCCCTCCTGGGTTTGGGGGGGGGGTTTCTGAGTCCTGGCGTGGGCTGAAGTGGGCGCTTGCCGAAAACCAACAAGGTGCCCAAGGCTGGATTGTGCCAGCCAATTTTGGATAGCACCACAGCCGTCCGAAATGGAGGCAAACGTAGCTCTTTGGAAGCATCTTTCCCTGCACCAAGCTTTCTCTACCTCCTTTCTTTCTTTCTTCTCCATCACTCCTTCTCCTCTTCCTCTTTGCTTCCCTCTCCATCTCCATCTTTTTTTACTTTTTCTACTTTCCTTCCTTCCTCTTCCATCTCCATGTTTCTTCTCCTTCCTTCCTTCCCTCTTTCCCGCTCTCTCTCTATCACTTTCTTCTTCTTTCCTTCCATCTCTTTATCTTTCTTGTTTCTCTCTTTCTTTCCTTCGTTCCTTCTCTCCTTCCCTCCTCCTCCTCACTCTCCTTCCTTCCTTATCACTCATTTTGTCCTCTTGTTTCTTTCCTTCCTTCCTCCCCTTTCCCTTCCTCTCCTTCCTTTCATCTCTTTCCTTCCTTCCTTATCTCCTTGCTTCCTCCTTGCTTCCTCCCTCCCTCCCTCCCTCATCATCCTTCTTCCTCTTTCCTTCCATCTCTTCATCTCTATCTTTCTTCTTTCTTTCCTTCTTTCCCTTCCTCCCCCTTTTCTTCCCTCTTTCCTTCCTTCCGTCCTCCTCAGTTTCCTTCCTTCCTTCTCTATCACTCCTTCCCTTCCTCTTTCATCTCCATCTCTCTTTCTTCACTCCTTCGTCTGCTTCCTCTTCCTCAGCTGGCAAACATCTGCAGTCAGTCATCCAGCCAGAGTGATGAGGGGGGAAGGAAATTTGGAATAGGGAAGGGAATAGAGACGGGAGACAAATGTGGCAGGAGATGCTCAGGGCCGTGATCTCGGTTTTTTTGTGCCGTCACCCAGAGAAAGTTTGTGGGGCAGATTTTGTGCTGCTCTTCACGGTCCCACAAGCAAGCCTGGGAAGTCTTCTCCCAGTGGAAAAGTGGGGGGGGGGCTGAAGGATGTTTGCAAAGAGGGCTTTTCCATGGGGGGGGAGAGCGCTGGAATTTGGGCACCCCAAACCCCAATCCCTGTTGGGAGACCCGGAGATCCAGAATCCCAATGCACCAGGAAGAAAGGCCCAATTTGTCTCTCCTTGTTTTTTTTTGGGGGGGGGGGTCACAGCTTCTTCCTAAAAACTTAAGATTCTGCCAGCCCAACCCTGAATCTGCTCCCTTGCTGCAAAACCTTAGCCTGGGTGCCTTTTTCCCCCCAACAAAGGGCCCGAGCTTCCCCTCCCCCAAACAGCCCTAATCCTGGCTCTCCCGCTGGAAAAAAATAATTTCCACCCCCCCAGCCCTCCCCCATTTTTCTCCCAGGGCCCCAAAGAGGAGTCAAAATCGGCTGCAGCCTTACCCAGAAGGGGCGGAGTCTCTCTGCTCAGCTGCAGGACCGCTTCAAGCTAGAGATGCTTTGAAGCTCCGCCTCCCTTCGCTTAAGTGCCTGCATCCTTCTCCAGCCGAAGATGCTTTGGCTGGTCCTGATGCTGCAGGGAGGGGAAAGGGAAAAATAATATATCTATTTTTTTTTAAAAAAAAAAAAAGGAAAAAAAAAACCAACACCCTGCCCTGCTGCATCTTGGGAGCTGTAGTTCTCCAGCCCAGATCCTGCAACTGACTCCCGTTCCAGCCTGTTTCACAAGACAGGGCAGAAGAACTGGAGGGAAGAGATAGCCAATTAATATATATATATATATATTTACTCCCAGAAGGAGGTTGGTTGGTTGGTGGGTAGGTGGCTTTTGTGCCTGCTTTTTCCTTTTTTTCTAAATCTGCTTTGCCGTCTGGCTTCTTTCTTGTTCCAATTTTCCCAAATCTTGCAACGATGATTTTTTTATAATAAATAAATAAACGCTTCTCTGACTGATTCGGGCCTCCGGAACCCATTCAGCATCTGAAAACTGCTGGGGAGAAAATTATATATCCAGATCTGCTTTGCAATCTCGTCTCCTTGTTTATTGTTCAAATTCTTCAAATTTTGCTACAATTACTTTTAAAAAAAAGCTTTATAACATATATATACACACACACGCACACACACACACAGACAGAGGGGTCCAATTAACATCATCCTTCCGGGAAGCATGGAAACAAAATATTTTGAGTGGATGCTTTGATCCTCAGGATAGAAGCCAACTGGGAAAATGTTTCCCACGAGGTCCTCTTAGCTAATGGAATGGGATCCGTTGCCAATTTTTTTTCCATCTTTTCGGCTCTTCGGCTGAATCCAGCTGATGGGAATTTCAAACAGACCCCCAGCCAAAAGCCACCTTCTGTTCATGTCGAGTTCCTTCAAGCAAGGTTTCACTTCATTTCTCCAAAATGTCGTTTTGCAAAGTGGTGGCTTCTGGTTTGCAACAAAGCTTCATTTGTTCCTATTGTCAGGAAAAATTGCTTATCCTTTGTCTGGTGAATGGGTTTTTTTCCCCCCTCTCCTATTAGCAATACTTTCCCTACCTAATTGCGATCGTAATATTTTATTCCATCAGCCTAACTTGAGAACAATCAACACAGTGATTGTTCTATCTATCTATCTATCTATCTGTCTGTCTGTCTATCATCTTTATCTATATCTCTGTCTATGTCTATCTGTCTATCACTATCCATCCATCCATCTATTATCTTTTGTTTGTTTGTCTATCAATCATCTATCATTTATCTGTGTCTCCATTCATGCATCCATCTATCATCTGTCTGTCTGAATGGGTATCTATCTATCTATCTATCTATCTATCTATCTATCTATCTATCATCTATCTATCTTATCTATCTATCTATCTATCATCTATCTATCTATCTATCATCTATGTCTATCTCTATCTATCCATCCATCCATCACCTATTATCTTTTGTTTGTCTATCAATCATCTATCATTTATCTGTCTGTGTCTCCATTCATGCATCCATCTATCATCCATCTTTGTCTATCAATCATGTATCATCTGTCTGTCTGAATGGGTCTCTATCTATCTATCTATCTATCTATCTATCTATCTATCTATCTATCTATCTATCTATCATCTATCTATCTATCATCATCTATCTATGTCTATCTATCTCTATCCATCCATCATCTATTATCTTTTGTTTGTCTATCAATCATCTATCATTTATCTGTCTGTGTCTCCATTCATGCATCCATCTATCATCCATCTTTGTCTACCAATCATGTATCATCTGTCTGTCTGAATGGGTATCTATCTATCTATCTATCTATCTATCTATCTATCTATCTATCTATCTATCTATCTATCTGCTAAAATCAGGAGAAATACATCTTAGCTGCGTTACGCATCTCTTTTAAAAGGCAAGGAAAAAATGTTTAACACAATGATCAAATAAGCCTCCCTGGAGATGCCACCGTTACATCCTCATTTTCCCCACTCCAATATATATATATATATATATATTTATCTAAACTAACTTTTGCTCACTTAAATCCAGAATTAAGAAAAATGTGTTTTACCTTGCTTCAGTTTAGTTTCTTGATTATTTGGGACCTGGGGCATTCTGCCCACCACTGATGCCATCGCACAAATCATAAGCAGGAATTATTCACACGACAGAACGTGGTAAGAAAAGCAATGTAAGTTTATAATAAATAATCCTAATTTTGTTGTTGACATTTTTCTCATTTAATGCCTCTTGCAAACCTGGATCTAAACATCGGCGCCCTCTGGCGGACTAACTGGCTTCCTGCGAGCCTCAGCAAACAGTATTTTTAATTACCTTAGTGGAAAGTTCACACAACATGGTTAAGTAGGTTTAACCTAGATTACTCAGGAGAGGGGTGTGCCTTGCATCAATCCAGCTTGCTTTGTTAGTTTATGGCTGAAGTATTTGAGAGGCTGCCACAAGGAGGAGGGGGTCAATTTATTTTCCAAAGCACCGGAAGGCAAGACAAAAAACAACAGATGGAAACCGATCAAGGAGAAAAGCAACCTGGAATTAAGGAGAAATGTCCTGACAGTGAGAACAATTAACCAGTGGAACTGCTTGCCACCAGAGGTTGTGGGTTCTTCATCACTGGAGGTTTTTAAGAAGAGACTGGACGGCCACTTTTCTGAAATGATCCTGCATGAGCAAGGGGCTGGACTAGAAGACCTCCAAGGTCCCTTCCAGCTTCTATTCTATTCTATTCTATTCTATATAGGGATTCCTGCTTGAGCTGGGGGGCTGGACTAGAAGACCTCCAAGGTCCCTTCCAGTTCTATTCTGATTGTTATTATTAAGTCAAGTATCAGCTGTTCAAACTTTGGGGGGGGGAATCTTATTTTGTGGAATTTTTGGTGCTCTCTGAAGTTAGCTGTTTGTTTGCAGATGTTTCATGACCCAAATATTCGATTTACAGCCATAATTGAGCTCCCGGCTCAAATGTGGTCGTAAGTCAAGGACGACTCCCTGCACAGGAGAAAAAAATAGGTTGAGATTTCAAGGTCTCCTTAAATCAAATCTCAGGCTGGCCCTCCCACCCACGGCCCTTCAAGTAGCTCCCTCTCACGAAGAGCCCCTCAAAATTTGGGGAAGGGTCCGCAAAGCTTCCCAACTGCGCAAGAAGCCCCCTTTCCCCAGGAAAACCACGTCCGGCGGGAAAACCACAGAGATAAAATGTAGTTTTTATTCCTTAAATAAACTTCCATAATCCGTCTTGCGTTTGGCACAGCAAAACCAATAATAATAATTGGGGACGGGGAGCGGGGTAAAGGAATAGTGTGTTTGCACACTTGTAGACGTACAGAGAACGGGGGGGGGGGCGGCCGACAAATACTGGGAAGGAGACCGACATGAAGGGAGGGGGGGCGGGAAACACAGGAAAAACTTCCGGAGGGTCCGAAATTTCAAGGGGGAAAACGAGGTTTGGGGGCCAAGCCAGTCAGATGAGAAGGTTGTAGAAATGTAGAGTCATTCACAGACACAGCAAAAGAGACAACGGCGGGGAACCAGGATTTAGGAGAAATCCCCCCCAATTGCAAACACGTCAAACACAAATTTTGCAAACGTTGCAAAATTAAACTGGGGTGGGGGTGGGGTGCCTCAACCCATCCTCCCTCCTCCCCCCCCTCCGAAAAGAGAAAGGGGACCAAACAGAGAGTAAGTCCTTAACTGGCTTTCGATGTCCCAATTCTCAAATTTCGGGGTGACGGGAGAAAATTTATCCGCAAAACAGTCTTTTTACTCCATCTGGGAGCTTTGAAAAAAATAATAAAGAAAGGGGGGGAGATTCCCCCCCCCCAGTAGCAATAAAAGAGAAGGCACCAGAAGGGCCGAGAAGCAACTATATAGGCCACTGGTGGCTTTTGAGCCAAATAAAATAATTCTCGTTGCTAATAAAACGATAATTAAAAAACAAAAAAAAGGAACTTGCTCCCAGCGGCCAGCACTGGCAGAAGCGATCAAAATAAAAGAGAAACAAAAAAATTCTTAAGGCCTTAAGCAACTTTAAGACGTGTGGAGTTCAACTCCCAGAATTCTCCAGCCAGGGGGGATTCTGGGAGATGAAGTCCACACGTCTTAAAAGTTGCCACGTTTGAAAAAACACAGGCTTAGGGTAGTGTAAATAGAAACTTGAAAATCCCCTTTTTTTTCTTTCGACTTACATCTAGCAGAATACTACAGAGTTAACTTCAGCGGTGGGCATTTTAAAAAGGCGTGGAGTTCAACTCCCAGAATTCCCCAGCCAGCCGGGGGGGGGGGGAGAATTCTGGGAGTTGAAGTCCACGCTTCTTTAAAATTGCTCAGGTTGAGAAACGACGACTTAATAGGAGGAAAGTACAAAAGGGGGCATGCCAGGTGTAGCAAATTTGCAGAAAACGGGACGCAGCGGGGCTGAAAGGAAACTTCAATTAAGGCCGGATCTGTTCCGACAGGCAAGGAGTGCAGGATCAAAAGGGGAAGAGGAAAGCCAATTATTTTGGGAAGGGGCACAAACAGGCAGGAAAGACCCCCCTGCTCCTTCCGGGTCTGGGTCAATCGGAGAAAGTCACAGGCAGAGATAAATAGGGGCTGGATCCCTTTGTAAATTTCGGGCGGAAGGAGAGAAGATTCAAGCCGTTTTCGGGGATCGGTAATCGTCAAAATCGGCGCAGCTGGAGCGGGGTGGATCCGTCACGGGTTTCCCTGCCTAGATTGCAGAGCAGAAGCTTCCGAAATCAGCACAAAAGGAGGGAAAGGAGGAATTCAAGGCCGGGAGGGCAGTGCGGTGCACTCAAGGGGGAGGGTTGTTTCGGCGAAGGAGTCCCGGTGAAGTCGGCGGACCGTTGATAAAACTGCAGCTCGCAGCTCCTTTAGGGGGCCTGGAAGGAGCTGGAAGCGGCCCCCGCGGCAGCGTTGGCAGCTGCCGTGCGGACCGTCGGGTTGGACAAAACACCGGCGGCAAATTCGGCCTGGGCTTTCTGGAAGCTGGCGCCCGTGCGGCGGTAGAGAGAGTGGATCTGCGGGAGAAGAGAGGAAAGGTCGGCTGGGGGTGGACAAGTCGGATTTCCTGGGTAGGAAGGGGAGAGAATTTGGGGGCTCGTCCGGGATGTATCTCCGTTTGTTTTGGAAAAGCAGAGATCCCCCGGAGGAACCGATCCAAATTCAGGCAGTCCTCGGTTTACAATTCGTTTAGCGACCAAACTTACCAAGGCCCCGAAAACAGGTGGTTTGTGGCTGTTTTTCAGACTTACGGCCGTCGCAGCCGCATCCACGTGATCAGAAATTTGGAGCTCCATTGTGGTTGTAAGCCAAGGACTACCTTTGTTTTCTGCTCTACTCACCCGTTTCAGCATGATGATACCCAGCCCAGCAATTACGGTGAACAACACGGCTACTAGGATCATGAAAATGCCCACCCCAGGGTGCTTTCCCAGGGCGCTGAAGCTGACGATCCAGCCGCTGCGAGACAACAAAAAAAAAAGAGAGAGAGAGAGAGAGAGAGAGAAAATAAAACTTCAAGATCCAACAGATCAGGAGAAGGAAAAAGGCCAAGCCACATTCGATGAGCCACGTTTGATCTTCTCCCAAAATGCAGGACCGGAGAAGCAAAGACGCACCTCCGATCTAGGCGCCAACCCAACCTGACCGGGTTCCGCTTCGGATCCGTCCCTTACCTGAAGCCCCAACCGGGTATCCCAATGGCCTGAAGGACGTAGAACACATCTTGGGCAAAGAAGATGAAGAAGAAGACGAAAAAGTTGAAAGAGCTGTCACTCCTGCCATCGAAGGAGGGAGAGAGAAAGAGAGAGAGAGAGAGAGAGAGATGGAGGAAAACAAATATGGCTTGCAAGGAAGACGCTGCTCTATTCGTTTCTATGGTTTTATTTGTATCCCTCCCTTATTATGTCTGCATATAATTCAAGATGCTGAACATAAACAATAACACAACTTCCTCCTCCTATTTTCCCTCCTATCACAACCACCCTGTGGAGTGGGTTGGGCTGAGAGGGAGAGACTGGCTCAAAGTCACCCAGCTGGCTTTCACGCCTCAGGCAGGACTAGAATTCCCAGTCTCCTGGTGATCAATCCAAAGTCCACCTAGCCAACTTTCAGGTCTAAGGTAGAACTAGAATTCACAGCCTCCTGGTGACTGGCCCAAAGTCACCCAGTTGGTTTTCATGCCTAAGGCGGGACTAGAACTCACCGTCTCCTAATGACTGGCCCAAAGTCACCCAATCAGCTTTCATGTCTAAGGTGGGACTAGAACTCACCGTCTCCTGGTGATTGGCCCAAAGTCACCCAGTCGGTTTTCATGCCTAAGGCGGGACTAGAACTCACCGTTTCCTGGTGATTGGCCCAAAGTCACCCAGCCAGCTTTATGCGTCAGGACTAGAACTCCCCATCGCCTGGTGATTGGCCCCAAGTCACCCAATCAGCTTTCCTGCCTAAGGCGGGACTAGAGCTCACCGTCTCCTGGTGATTGGCCCAAAGTCACCCAGTCGGTTTTCATGCCTAAGGCGGGACTAGAACTCACAGTCACCTAGTGAGTTCTAGTTTGCCAAACGTTGCTACCTCCACATTCTCCTCCTTCCTCTGAAAGCCTGCTCTAAACCAAGGATTCCTGCCCCAGGGCCACCAAGCAACAGAGTGGCGATGTCGATGCGCCCACTTTAGTGACCGTACCGGAAAGCTTTATACATGGGTCGGTACCAGCAGATGAAGGAGCAGGGCGTGAAAATCAAGGTCCAGAGGATGGAGAGGCCAAATCCGGAGCCACCAGAGGATTCCACGCAGAACCAGGTCAGGGAGGCAAGGAAGTTGATGAAAAGAGCCACAGTGCTGGCTGTCAAAAATTAGATATATATAGATATAGATATCAATAATAATATTAAAAACAAACAGATGATTCCTGGGTCTATTCATATCCAAATAGCTAAAAAGCACGAGCACCAGGAAATTTTACAAAACTATAAAAGTTTTAATTCAATAACACACCAAGCTTTCGTTGGCCACTGCCAACATCGACTAGAATGTACCCTGACGATGTTGGCAGTGGCCAACGAAAGCTTAGTGTGTTATTGAATTAAAACTTTTATAGTTTTGTAAAAATTTCCTGGTGCTCGTGCTTTTTAGCTATTTGGAGATATAGATATATATTTTAAAAAAGTAGTACGAAAGACAACACAGGTCAGCAACTATGAGCAAGTGGGGGCCAGCCCAGCCCATAAAGAAAAACCAACCGGGTCTTAAGTCTATATTGCAGGAAGAATGCAGTTCAAATTGAACAAGTCACCGTCGTAAGTCAAGGATTCCCCGCGTATAAATAAGATTTTTTTTTTT